ACTATCGCCGCAAACTATCATGGTACAGAATGTACCACCACCACCACCAGCGGTGACATTATTACTACCAATGAAGGCTCAAATACTGCTACAAAGTAAAAGAAGAAGAAGAAGAAGTGCAGTTCTTTAGAAAACAGCAGAGGAAAAAGAACAACTCAAACTGACCGAAGAAGGAGGTGGTGGTGGTGGTGGTGGTGGTATGCACTCGGGTGTACTATTTGACAGTGCCGGTGGTGATGAGTCCACCAAAGATGGATGGGAGAGAGCGTTATCAGTGCAAACACTGAAACCTCTCTTTCTCTCTCTCTCTTTCTCATCCATTCCCCTCCAGTGCAGAGCCCTCTCGCGCCCCTAGCAGCAGTAATCAGTCATCTCCATCTCCAACTTAGCATCTCTTTGCAGCTGCAGCCCAAAAAGGTAGAGCGAGAGAGATGAAGATCAGGCCGATTTTAAAATGAGCTGATCCCAGGCGAGACGACTACCCCTTCGAGTCGCGTTATTAATAGCAGCACCTACAGCTGAAGGTGATCTTGTGTGAGTGAGTGAGAGATTGACAACTGGGCAAAGCAGGGCAGAGACAGCCAGCAGCTGTAACGACTGATGATGATGATGATGACCTGGCGAGGCCTTGAGAAAAGAAAGAGGCAAAGAAAAACAAGTGGGCGCACTTTCACTTACCTTCTTTGACATTCTTGACATTGAACTTGAACTGATCAGTTTGTGGAAGAAGAAGAAGAAGAAGTAAGACAGAGGGGCAGACAGTTGAGAAAGGGAGCTGAAACCCGAGTTTGATGAGGATGGGCCGGGGGATGACTGGCTGGATGAGGATGCTCTCTGGAAAAAGAGACAGAGAGGAGAGGATTAGATGCAACCACCGCAGACAGACTGTCGGCGATCGGTGGTGGCCGATAACCAGTGGAGTTGACATGATGCGATGAGATGGCAAACTTCCGATTGTGTCAAGGTGGTGGTAGTGGTGATGGGGTGAAATCATCTCAGCATCTCTCTCACCTTGATCAATCATCATTATCTCGCTTATTATTCCCATTTGCGACGCCTGTTTGCCAAAAGCTGCTGCTGGTGTTGTTGTTGAAGCTGTCCAGTGTTATTGATCGTGTGAGCCTCTCGCTTTCTGCAAAAAAGTGCACCAGAGATTAGATAAGAACGGGAAGAGATACGGTCTGCAAAATGTGAATGAATGGATTACCGAGCAGTGACCGATAGAGAAGCCTGGAAACTGTTGAGGTGATTTGAATTTAAATTAACGTCATCAGAGAAGTGCTGCAATCGCCATCTGAAGAGCTTTGTTGGAAAGTGAGCATTTTCGAATTTGCTTGCACTGGAGTTGATGATGATTCGGCATTGTAGGAGAAATTGACAGCTCATCACCCACTTTTCTGTGAAGGTGTTCTTGTTTACTTAATCACTATCAATTTCCGCGATTTTAGAAGCAATCTCCAGTTCTTCTTCAGCTTTTGAAACGACGATGATGTACTCCGCCAAGTCGCCGTACGGCATCCGTCCGAAGCACCTCTGGAAGTCCTTCTGCTTCGGCCTGGGGGCGCTCTACCTGCTCAGCCTGCTCGTCCTCGGCTACCTCAAGTTCATCGGCGAGGTGATGCCCTTCTGCTTCTACGACAACTTCTACTACGCCAGCTTCTACTTTGCCGCCTTCCTCTACATGGTCGTCGCCATGGAGCTGAGCGACGTTCCGGTGAGTTCTCTCCAAAGTGAGTTGAAGAGCTTCTTATCTTGGTCTTCTTCTTCCTCCTCTTCAGATCAGCAAGTCGCAGGCGCGCAACTGGTACAGCCACAAGTTCCTCGGCTGTTCGGTGCTCTTCGCCGAGGCGGAGGCCTTCCTCCAGTACCTCATTTCCTATGGGCAGGTGGCCGGCGAGCTGGAGATCGACACCATCGCCAGCCCCTACATCCACGGCCTCTTCGCCCTCGGGCTCATCCGCCTGCTGCTGGTGGGGGCGATGGCGGTCTTTGGCGTGCGCAAGCTGAACGCAGTGGCCGCCAGCAAAGGCCTCCAGGCGGACGAGGTCTTCGGCTCGGTGGTCACCTTCTTCGCCGACTTCACCATCATGCAGCTGTACGCCTACACCGCCTTCCTCTACGACTTCAGCCTGCCGATGGTGCTGCTCATCTCGGTGGTGTCCTACGTCTACTACAAGTTCGCTCGTGTTTAGGGGGAGAGAGACTTCGTGTTGCTTTATCCTTTTCACCTCGTAACGATGCGACGGCACGTTTTGCTGTTGTTTCCGCTGTGATCGATGATAATGATGAGGGCGATGCTGTGGCGATGGTAGTAGCAGTAAAGATCACTTCATTTGGGTTGTACCGAGTGATTGACTTCAAACCAGAGAGAGAGGTTTTCATCTTTGGAGAGTTGCTCCTTTTGGAACGCTTCTATTTCTCGGACGCGCCGCCGATTTTTTCTGTTTCGCTGCCCGCGCGCGGCAACTATCTCGACAGCAGTCACGCTGCGGTTGGCTCCCTTTCCCCCTTGGGTGGCAATCGGCGCCATTTAGCAGCAGCAAAAGCAGCTGTCATTTGCGCACTGCTGCAATCTTTCTGGTGCTCTCACTCGTTTGCCGTACAACAACCAAACATCCTCGCCAGCATCACCATCACCAGAACTTTTTCTTTGCTTGTTCCTGTGAAGCAGTGATTTAACGAAACGCCCACCGAAAAGTGTCGAACACCTAGAAAAAAGTCAGTAGCCAACAGCCAACAACAACAACAGCCGCCATGGACAACAACACCGAGGACACCTTTCTCGACAGCCAAACCGGTAAGAGGATGATGCTTAAAATACCTTTGTTTACCTTTGCCTTCTTGGGCTGGTTCCAATTTTGAGAAGGAAAAGTTTGATTCTGGTGCACCTTGATGCAAATGCCATACTTTACTGTGATCACTGGAATAGTTTTCACCTTTCAGAGAGGCCTTTTCGAAGCAGAGACATTTCAGTAGCACCTTCCCACTGCTGCTGACAACTTGATCTAAGCAGGTGTCATCTTTCATTTTGCATTATCTCATTTCAATGGCCTATTAATCTCGCCCGAGTGATTCATTGAACCTTAGATGACTAATTAGTCCAGGTTCAACACTATCAGCACTACCTCTTTTCGCCCCCAGAAACCACGACAACACAAAACAACAACAACTGATGATGATGATGATAAAACACCACACTCTGTTCACTTAGTGCACTGTTCTGTGCAATCGACGGTGACAATGTCATTGATGATGATGGTGCTGGTGCTTTGGAATTAGTCATCATTCCCCCCCACCACCACCAGCACCGCCATTACCATTACCATCATTACCAAAGTAAATCACGCCAGTCGACTAATGCTCTGCCGTCGTGCCGGCGCACCTGCTAGACTGAAAAGCGAGAGAGAAATAGAAATTGAAAATAGAATTCAGCGGAAGGAAGAGTGCCCGTTTGGCGGACAATCTGTCTGTCTGCGTCTTGTTCTCTTTCTTTTTCCAGCCATTTTTGTGTGTCCAAAAGACGATACAAGATGGTAGCTTCTCTCTCTTTCTCCTTCAGACACTCTTTCGGACAGGTTCTTCTTCCGAAAGAGCGAAGTATGTGGCACAAAGGTGTGTGCAGCAGCAGCGGCGGCGGCGGCAACAAAAGCAAAACAACGGAGACTCATTTGTACTGCCTGAGCTGCTGCTGCTGCTGCCAGGCTACCTGGCGTCTCGCTCATATTATTACCTGCTCCTCAAAAGTTGTCCTCCCTGCCTTTTGCTTACGTTTACCAGGCAACGTCGCTCGCTCTCTCCGCTTAACTGCTGCTCTTGACAGCGGCCAACTAACCAGTCAGCCAGCCAGCCACTCGTTACACCGTTTGCGCCCGCATATTTACACCTCTGACCTACCGCTGCTCCTGCTGCGGTGATTGTACCGTTACCGCAGACAGATACTCAGTTTGCACACATCTTGTGACGTGTTTGCAGTTGCATCCCCATCCTCAGTTCCTAAAACTCTCTGACCTAGTGTGACTTTAAATGGCCAAGGGGAACAAGGGCAAGCAACAGCAGCAGCAGGCCAATGGGTCTGCGACTGGAGCTGGAGCTGCCAAATCACCGTCCACCAACGGCCACCACAGCAAGGCCTCAGCGTCACTGCTCGTCACCACCTCTGACGATGAGCACACCGAGTCGGCCGACTACGATGAGATCTCCAGCAGCAACAGTGCTACCCAAAATCAGGCCCCCGATGATGATATTGACCACGAGAAGGTGGAGGCCTTTCGGCGAATCGCCTCCGCCGAGGAGATTGAGGAAATGAGTAATTGAAAGAGAAAGAGAGCTTTGGGAACACTTTTGTTACTTTCTGAATTTTCAAATTTTTAACCATTTGCCTTTCTATTTTTATCCCCAGGCGATGAACTGCTGGAGAACCACGTCGACCTGGCCAGCCTCAGTCCGGAGCGCCGCGCCAAGGTGGAGGAGGAGCTGAAGAAGGAGCTGGCCAAGGTGAGTGCCTGAAGTGCTTCAACCTTCCAGCAAACTAACTCCAATCACTGTATCATTCACTAGACTGAGGAGGAGATTCAGACGCTTCGCCAGGTGCTGAACGCCAAGGTGAAGCACTCGCACGAGCTGAAGCGCAAGCTGGGCATCACCGTGTGGAAGGAGTTTCGCGAGGACATGGAGCAGAACATTCGCAACATCCAGGAGACGTCCACGTACGTATTTAACAACAGGATAGGATTAATGTGTGTGTCTACTACGCAAGCTTTCCGGGGGAGGTGTTTCGGGTGCTTTCAATGTCTTCTTCGCTGTCATCATCACCTCTTTTACGCATTCTAAACGCCGCCAAACTAACCTGTTTACCGCCATTTACTTTTCTCTCCCTCGCCTTCTATTTCCTTCTCCTTCTCCTCCTCGCTAACCGACACTAAAATCACAGCAGCTCAGGATTTATGTCGAAGCTTGCCACTCCTTCGTACGTTTGTTCACAAAAGTCAATTCTTTTCTTTATTTACCTGTGCTTGCTTACTTTGCTTACCTGTGTGTTCTGCATGTGTTTACAGCTTTAGTTTTTAGTGTACTGCCTGACACACACACTTCACCTAAGCTTGAACTGCATTTGAAGGGCACAATCTAATCATTTGATGTTGATCTTCCCAGGTACCAGAAGACCACCGACGTGGTGAAGGCCGCCTCGGAGAAGACCACCTCGATGATCGGCACCTTCGGCGGCTCGGTGGCGCGCAAGCTGGGCGAGGTGAAGAACTCCAACGCCTTCAAGTCCTTTGAGGAGCGCGTCGGCTACGCGGTCACCAATGTCAAGGTACAGTTGACTCCTTTTATTTCAGTTTCCATAACTAAACTCCTCTNATGATCGGCACCTTCGGCGGCTCGGTGGCGCGCAAGCTGGGCGAGGTGAAGAACTCCAACGCCTTCAAGTCCTTTGAGGAGCGCGTCGGCTACGCGGTGACCAATGTCAAGGTACAGTTGACTCCTTTTATTTCAGTTTCCATAACTAAACTCCTCTTCTTCTTTTGCAGAGCAAAATCTCCTCGCGCAGCAACAGCACCACCAACTTTGACGACGCCCTGCGCAACTCGGAGTCGATGGCCGGCAATGGCAGCGGCGGCGGCTTCTCCTCGACGACGCCCATCACCTCGCCGACCATTCCGGAGGACAAGCCGCTGGCGTAAAGAACTTGCAGAACGTGAACTTATCTCGCATGAATTTATTATAACCGAGGGTCAACTTCACCCTCACACCCTCTCTTGAAGCTCGGGACTGTTTTCACACTTAATCTCTCTCTTTATTTATATAATTTCCGCCACCAATCTTTTCTGATTCTGAAGGAGTCTGTTTTTCTCAAGAACTGCACGATTTTTATTTTACTACTATGATTCTCTAATTTTTATTACTTTGCTATATGATACAAACTCTGTTTGTGCTCTACTGCTGCTGCAGGCACAGCCAATAAAGAATATCAGTGTGTTTTGGAACAAGCTCGATTCTAGAGGTAAATTACAGATTGTTCAGTTTGAGGACTTTTTCTGTTCGGACTGCTGAGCACCTTCCTCTTCGGACTTCTTTGCGGCGGCGGCGCCGCTGCCCTTCTTCTCCTTCTCCAGCGCGGCGGCCACCATCTCCTGGAGCATCTCCATGCCCTGGCGCGCCTTCTCCAGCTTCCGCGCCGCCCGCATCGCCGCCTTCTCCTCCTCGTCCTTCTTCAGCAGCGCCTCCTCGAAGCGCGGGTCATTCGGCTGGATGTCGTAGCCGAGGTACTCCCGCACCTCCTGAATCACCTTCTCCTTCTTCTCCTTCTCCCGCTCGATGTCCTCGTACAGCTGGTGGTACTTCGCCCAGAAGTCCTTCTTCAGCGTGGGCATCTTCGCCAGGTTCTTCTCCACCTCCCTGGTGCGCCTCGTCCTCGCCTCGGCCGCCTCGGTCTGTCGCCGCCGGAGGTCGTCGCGCATCCTTGCCACCGACTTCTCAAAGGTGGCCTCGTACTGTGTCAGGTACTCCAGCTCCTCGTTGGTGGGGTAGCAGACGCCGGGCTTTAGGCCTGGAAGATGGAACCATTTGGAATTAGAATTTGCAAAGTTAACAGCNCCTCGCCACCGACTTCTCAAAAGTGGCCTCGTACTGTATCAGGTACTCCAGCTCCTCGTTGGTGGGGTAGCAGACGCCGGGTTTTAGGCCTGGAAAATGGAACCAGTGAATTAGAACTTGCAAAGTTAACAGTAAAAAAACGCACCTGAATTCTTGCCAAACTTGGCGAAGCGCTTCTGCATCGCGTCCTTCTTGTACTGCCATAGAAACTTCAGCTCCGTCGCCTGGCCTACCTCGCCCTTGTACGCCTCCAGCACCTCCGGCTGAATGTGCCGACTGGGCAGCTTCGAGGACTGCAGCACCTTGCGCAGATATCGAGTAGACATGGCTGAAGAAGAATCTTCAAAGAATCACCCGAAAACGAGAATCAGCGGCCTCGTTCTGGCAACAATATTTACATTTAAAAATCCAGCTGAAAAGCAGCGCTGGTCCGTTAGTAGAAGACGTACAAAGGCATCTGAATCACTATATGAGAGAATTCGGACTGTAAGATTTCTTATCATGCTATTTTTGCTGTTCTAAAAGATATCTTGTAAAGTTGTTTGCAAAAATAGACCACTCTAAGACCGGAAACGCTAGGATATCACCCAAAAACGGGCATTTTAGCCTCTTGAAGCCGGCGCAGTAGCGCCCCCACCGGCCGCCACCCGCGACAGCTGGCACGCTGCTTCTCCTCACCGCCACTGCCGCTGCTGCTGCTCCTGCACCGCTGCATCCTGCCTGTCTCGTTCTTTTTCCTGTGCCTGTTCTTCGCGAGTCAACATGCCTGCAACGTAAGTGACCAACAACGCTCCCTTTCCGCCCACTACCCGCCCCTGGTCGCTTGGCCCGGTGATAATCGGACGCCGAAGCGGTCCTGGAGCGAGTGGAGTGCGGCGGTCGGGGTGAAAGTTGCCAATTCTAACGTCTTTTCTCTCTCCCACCACCACCACCACAACAGTCAAGCCAAGCCAGCAGCCGCCGCCGGAAAGACCTCGGGCAAGCTGCCCACCGTCCCGGAGACGATTCTGAAGAAGCGCAAGAGGAGGGAGGCGCAGAAGGCCACCCGTCTGCAGTCGGCCATCAAGTTCCGCAAGGTAAGCAGTCGTTTGGGTTTGGGTTCGATTTCCCGTGACACGTCCTAACCATTTTCTTCCCTTATATCTTCCCTAGACCCGCAATGCGAAGAAGGCGCTCATCTTCAAGCGTGCTGAGAAGTACGTAGCGGAGTACCGCTCGAAGGAGCGCGACCAGATCCGCATGAAGAAGCAGGCGAAGGAGCACGGCAACTTCTACGTGCCCCCGGAGCACAAGCTCGCCTTTGTCGTCCGCATTCGAGGGTAAGCTTCTCTTGTTTTGATAGTTTCTATTTCGCATTTTCTAACTCCTACTTCCCCTCCCCCAAAACAGTATCAACGGCGTGCCACCGAAGCCCCGCAAGGTGCTGCAGCTGTTCCGCCTGCGGCAGATCAACAACGGCGTCTTCGTTAAGCTGAACAAGGCGACGATCAACATGCTGCGCATCGCCGAGCCCTACATCACCTGGGGCTACCCCTCGCTGAAGAACGTCCGCGACCTGATCTACAAGCGCGGCTTCGGCAAGGTCGACGGCCAGCGCGTCCCCCTCACCGACAACGCCGTCATCGAGAAGAAGCTGGGCAAGCGCGGCCTGATCTGCATGGAGGACCTCATTCACGAGATCTTCACCGTGGGCGCCAACTTCAAGTACGCCAACAACTTCCTCTGGCACTTCAAGCTGAACAACCCCCGCGGCGGCTGGAGAAAGAAGGTGACGCACTACGTGGAGGGCGGCGACTTTGGCAACCGCGAGGACAAGCTGAACGTTCTCCTGAAGAACATGATCTAAAGGACGCGAACGTTAACAGCCAACAACAAAATTATCCAAAAGTCTCTCTCCCCCTCCTCTTTTTCCACCATCCGTTTTGCAAATAAACAGAAATTCTCCTCACATTCTTTTAATTCATTAATCATTTACATGGTCTTGAGGAAGGCATTCAGATCGTGAACCGAGGTCTTTGCATGCCGCAGACAAAACTCCGCGTCATCAAGTTCGTAGAAGGCCGTCAACGGAACGTACAGCGGCCGTGTCGGGTCGTACTGCGCCCGCCCCAGGGCCACCAGGTACCGGTGGCGGGCCTCGATGCGCGGCAGGCGCACCGAGAAGATCTTCGGCGTCTTGGCGATCACCTCCTGGGCGAGGCCCATCTCCCCGTGGAGGTAGTCGAAGGTGCGCACCAGGTCGCGCCCGGGCGGCGTCCGCGGGCTGCCGTAGTATCGGCGCCAGAGGCGAGGGTAGGCGAGCAGGATCGACCGGATCTCCGCCTTGCTGAAGCCGCACTCCTCCTCCAGGGAGAAGGTGACCTTCTTCACCTGCATCGGCGTGAGGGTCAG